ACGAATGGACAGACACAGACAGACAGACAGATGGACAGACAGACGAATGGACAGACAGATGGACAGACAGACGAATGGACAGACAGACAGACAGATAGAGAGACAGACAGACAGACAGATGGACGGATGGACAGACAGACAGATGAATGGACAGACAGACAGACAGACAGACAGATGGACGGATGGACAGACAGACGAATGGACAGACAGACAGAGAGACAGACAGACAGACAGATGGACAGACAGACGAATGGACAGACAGACAGAGAGACAGACAGACAGACAGATGGACAGACAGACGAATGGACAGACAGACAGAGAGACAGACAGACAGACAGATGGACAGACAGACGAATGGACAGACAGACAGAGAGACAGACAGACAGACAGATGGACAGACAGACGAATGGACAGACAGACAGAGAGACAGACAGACAGACAGATGGACAGACAGACGAATGGACAGACAGACAGAGAGACAGACAGACAGACAGATGGACAGACAGACGAATGGACAGACAGACAGACAGATGGACAAACAGACGAATGGACAGACAGATAGAGACAGACAAAAAGACAGAGACAGAATCAGATTCATGTTCTTTCCATCAGAAGTATCACACAATGAGATGAACATTTTGACCAAATATTAAACATTCAATCATTTATTTTACCACACGTTTCTCTGAAATACTAATATTTGTGTCTAGTGACTCTAAACTGTATAACTGATGGTCGTCTCCATTGTCTGTGTCTCTCATGTCATGACGTACTCAGAATAAATTCATCCACACTCGAATCAGTCTTTCATGTGATCTGCTGACTGATCTGATCAATAGTTTGCAGTGAGTCAGTGATGACGACGGTCTCCCTTCATGACTTCACTGGATGAAGATATCTGTGATGTTTTGTGATGAACAGATTTGTCAAGGACGAGCAAATGAAAAGAAGAAAACAAAAGAACAGAGAGAAGAGAGAAAGAGTGAAAATAGAGCAGATGAGTGTGTTTGATGTGAAAGTGACGAAACAAGATCCTGCAAAACACAGAAGAGAGAAACACATCTGACTGACATCTGCTGAGATTCTGTTCATGGAGAGAAAAACTCATGAAGAGAAAAGCAAGGTCACAACACAAAGAGACAGAGACGATGAATGAACAGAGTCAGTTCTGGATAAAAGAAATCCATGAGTCAGACAGCAGAGAGCTGAAGAAGAGTTCACTGCAGGTCACTGCAAACACACACTGGCACAAACACATGATCACACGTCACTGTGACAGACAGATGCATCAGCCAATGACAAACAGGCATGTGTGGGAGGAGTCAGGAGTGAGTGACAGCTAATGGAGGTGTGGTTTTTAAATATTTCATTCTGAGTTTTTATGCACACACACACACACGCACACACACACACACTCACGAACACACACACACACTCACGCACCCACGCACACACACACACACACACACACACACACACACACACACACACACTAGATGTAAATACAACATCATACTGACAGAGATTCAGTTCAATTGTGATTCTGCTCTGCACTAAATGATGATCGTCCATGAAGTCTGCCTTAAGTTTAATTAGATGTACACATAATTCATAATTACTGTACAAGAGCAAGGAACTGAGCAAGGAACAATTTATAGAAAACTACAAATATTCACCTGTATTGTAATTAGAAACGTGCATAAAACAGTGCAAAAGTCCAACATTTATCTTAACATCAAATATATATTTTAATTCAATATCAAACTCATTTTAAAATACAAATTTGATCATTTTATTAATTATAATCTTAAATATTTTAAAATAAAAAATAACTATAAAACAGTATAATTACATGAATACAAATCTTAATATTTAAATAATTTTAGAATCAAAATGACATGCAATGTCTTTTAATATATCATTTTGACTGTACTGATTGACAATTAAGTGGTTAACAGGTTTCACTATAGCAGTTTTACATGTTTATTCCATTAAAATGACTGACTAACACTTCTACAGTTGAGGTCAGGACTCTGTCAAAGCATCAGCTGAGCAAAGATCCATCATGACATGAAGCTTTTACACAGAATCCTTCATCAGGTCTAGAGGAGCAGGTCTCTGCATCAATCATCAGTTCTGATGTGTGTTCAGACTCACCTCCCATCCTGACAGATCCACTGCGCTCGAGTCACTGCACACTCTCACTGTCTCTCACACACGCTTTATCCTCCCTCAGTCTCACATTCGGATCCGGGCATTCAGATCTAGTTCAGGTCAGTGTTTATTTGCACATCAGCCCAGATTCTAAAAATGACCATCCAGACTTTGTCCTTACTAAAGATATCCACACAGAGACAAACAAACCTGATTGTCAATGAACACAAACACCTTCTGCTGAGACAAGCATCTGCTTCATCAATCACAAAGAGATCATAAAATGATCAAAAACCTTCTCAGCCGAGGAATTAAACATATAAACGTCTCTTCCTGCACTGAACAAAATTTGATCTGAATAACGATAATACTTTTAACAATTTTCCTAAACTCTTAACACACAATCTTTCCTAGAAGAGTGGAAGCTGTTATAGCTGCACCAACTCTATATCAACTTCCATCTTTCTGTCTTTTCACTGTTATTCAGTAGGAGGCGCTGTTACACATCTTCTGACAGAGTAATACATCTTTGGATCAAAACACAGGCGAAGAAGAAGCAGAATCATGTGTAATCAGATGCATATGTAAAATAACACGATCGTAAAGCATTAAACAGCATGTAAATCAAAACTGCCTTAAAGTTACCGAATTGAAATGTTGACTCAAGAAGTGGTTTAGGACTGTTTTTGGGGGTGTTGATGGAAGCGGTCTGCTGCATCTATGTTTTGATCATCGTTCTGAATCCAAATCCAGACGTAGTCTTTTACAAAAACGTGATTTTCTCAGCTTTTTTGTTCAAAATTTTACTTTTTTCATGAAATTTACCCACATTTAAGTGTTGATTTAAAAAGAATGCATGAAGCTAGAATAAAACAGTTTGTTTCCTTTAAAAGCAGAGTTTCTGTTCTTTCTTCTGACATATTGCATGTTCAGATAATATTCTGGGGGCCATGCAAATTTTGTGAAAATTATCAATAAGTGGCTGGCAACTTTGTTTTGAAAACGCTGGCGGGGAAAGAGTTAAAAACATCCAAAAATCATTCTGTCATCATTTACTCTCCCTCAAGCTGATCCAAACCAGACTCTTTCCTGTGCAACACAAAAGATGATATTTTGAAGAATGTTGACTTTGACTTCCATTATATTTTTTGTCCGTACAATGAGAACCCAAACTGTTTGGTTCCCAACATTCTTCAAAATATCTTCTTTTATGTTCCACAGAAGAAAGTCATGGAGGTTTGGGAGGACATGAGGGCGAGTAAATGATGAGTTTTCAATTCTGCTTGTACTGTCTGTGCTGAAGGTCTTTATCTCTATCAGAGGCGTATCTGTACAGAGCAACAGTAATAAAGCCGGTGTGTTTGCAGTGACTAACGCAGGTAGTAAATCAGTAGCTAGTGGACAAACAAACCTTTGTGCAGAAAGAGTCAAAAAACACTGGAGACCAAAACACCACTCAGATTCACTGGAATAAAAACAATAATGTGGTTTTACTTTGGCGTTTTACGCTTACTAAAATGATTAGCTAAAATAACTGAGATATATCTGACTACCTAACTGAGATCTGGAGGAGCATCACTGCACTGATGTAGCTTTTATGACTCAATTCACTCGTTCATGGACCCTGAGACAAATATCTGAACTCTGGACAGGAGAGGAACAGTTATGTAAGAAGTTCTTCCAGGAGAGTTTTATTTCAGTCTCAGTGTCCGACTATCAACATTTAACCCGTATTTGATGTTTACCGAGTCTTACCTGAGCGTGTCCTGCTGCTGAAGGAGTCTCCAGCCTGAGCTCAAGCCTTCTGGAGATATGCTGATCTTCTGCAGCGCCACCTAGAGGACTCAGACTGATGACACACGAGTCAAGGACAAAGTTTGATTCATCTGAACACTGAGGGACTGACTCAACATATCAGTTACATTACTTTAATAAAGTAATTGAAAAAGTTACACTACTATTACATTTTAAATAGGGTAACTTGTAATCTGTAACCTATTACATTTCCAAAGTAACCTTCCCAACACTGGGTATGTATGAGTTAATACTCATATATGAGTTAAGGCGAGATGCTACAGGCAAAACATCTCGGGTTACGCATGTAACCATGTGCTGTGTCCTCTAGCCGCCAGCACGTTTGAAACAACTCCAATCCCATTGGCCCACGTTGCCCGTGACGTCACAGGCAGGCGCCTGGAAGTATAAAGTATGAAGTGCCAGCCGAAGTCACCAACTTGGTTGTCTGAAGGAGACGTGAAAACAGGCAAGCCGTAGGCATGGTGAGGGGATGCAGCGTCTCATTTTTTCTCGGGGAGCCATGGTTACATGCATAACCCGAGACGTTCCCCTTCTAGGGAACTCGCACGGTGTCCTCTGGTGGACACTATGGGGAACGGATTGTCCACTCAGCCATGCTGCGGCGAATGCCTGTTCGCCTGGTGAGAGAGCACCAAGAAAAGAGATATACCGGACCTTACCTTAGAAAGCGGGCAAGCCACTGATGCCTTGGGCCACTAAAATAACTCGGAAAAATGGGGAACCCAGCCAATCAGGAGGCACACTCCATTAACCAAGCTAAGGACACAGCTATGGAAGATGGACAAATGTGAACGGAGCTTTCTCATTGGAAATTCTCACCGAATGTGCTTGCTCCTCACCAAGACATGTAACGCATAGGTCGAGTGTGTCCTCGGGTGTCAGAAACTTCGGACACGGAGACACATACTTTCTAAAACGCTCACTTGCCTTGGTTTCTCCACATGCACAGACAAACAAACGGCTCCTGAAGACAACTAAAGTTAGTGATGTGTTCGGCAGGCGCCCGCCTGTGACGTCACGGACTACGTGGGCCAATGGGATTGGAGATGTTTCAACAGTGCTTTAGGCGGCAGTCCCCATAGTGTCCACTAGAGGACGCAGCGCAAGTTCCCTAGAAGGGGAACCAGTTTTTTCATGCATTACTCAGTTTTGAGATTTTTGGCCTTTCATAAAGCGTTTTTTTCAGACTAGAGGAAAGAAAACATCCAAAATGCACAATTAAGTGTTTCTTTTATTGCTCTTTATCTATTTGTGTCTGTAGATTTCAGTCTCTTACACACACCAAACTTTACAGTTTTATTCCTCTCTATATTGAGAAGGTTTGTTCATATTTCACTCACACTGATTTATACAACATTTTACTCCTAAAACATGGTGAAAATGTGTTTGTTTTCTGTCTATTGACAGTATTTTCTGATTTATGGAGTGATAAAAAGAGAAATCCAAAACCACTTCTGGAAAAACCTTTAACTCTGATATGACGACAAAATCAGACAAGAATTATGAACCTGCTTTATCCAATGTTCAGATTTATTATATTTTTTGGTGCATATTTAATTAGACAATGCCTCATTTGCATATTAAAAACATAACATTTCAGAAAACTTGTAATGCTTGTAATAAAAAATGTTTACAATTCTTAATGTGATTTGTAATTTTTTTTACCCTATTCAACTTAAAATAATGATGAGCACAGATAAATAATTTATAATAAACTGCAATATTCCAAAAATAATAATAACAGTGGTGATTTATAGTGAGCGTGTGGTGAAGGTGATTCTGGGAGGAGATTCGGGCTGCAGAATGAGAGTGTATTTGGTGTTCAGCTCTTCTGTGGATGAGACCGTCAGTCTGAAGTTCCTCAGACTCACAAACACACTCACAAACACACACACACACACACACACACACATCATCATCAGGTAACATGATTTACTCAAGCAGAACATGCTCCTGGATCCTGAAACAACATTCCCATCACTCTGTCAATCAGTTTTAGTGTTAGAGTTAGTGTTAGGTTAAGTTAGGGTTAGATTAGAGTTAGTCTCAGCCTGGATGACCATAAACAACAGCTCAATCTGATGTGTTTTTTAGCTCCCAGGAGTCAAAGTGCAGCAGTTTCAGCAGTTCACCTGGAAAGCTGTTTGTAAAATATTCATACATTGGTCCATTATATAGTACAATAAAAAAATGGTTTGGGATTTACCAATTTTCACTCAGAAATTGCTGGTAAATTTCACAAATTATTTCAAAGAAACGCCAAGGGCCACATTGACCACAATTAAATATGAAATTTTGAAGTAGAAAGACTGAAATAGTATTTCCTTGTAAAACATGCTCCCATCATGTGTTTTATTTACAGTGTATTTTTTGCATTGTATAATCTAACATCGTTTTACTATCATTGAGATACTGTTACAGTTTTCGTTTATATTATGAATTAGACTATGAATATTATTAATGACATTTTATTTTTAGATTTTCACTTTTCACTTTAATTTTACTTACATTTTTTATTAATTTTGTTGTGTTTTTGCCATTTTTTAAATATGTCTGTATTATTTTTATTTATTAATTTTAGTTTATTTAGTTTTAGTTATTTTGGAAATTTTGGATTTTAGAAATATTGTCTTGGCAACCAGCTGAAAAAAAAAATAAAAATCTAAGTTTATTTTATGAAATAAGTTTACGTTTTTTATATTTGATTTGATTTCAGTTAATGTTTCAAGTTAGTTTAATAACCCTGAGTTTAACTCCGATGAACCCGACACGTCTCAGCGTATCTCTAGGTTATGAAAATTAGAGATATATTTCCTAGTGCTTCTAAAATATACTCTTTAACACAAATTATATAATATGCTTGCACTGCTATTTGCACTTCTGCTTAGATGTTTCTGTGTTTGATTGGCTCTGTAATCTACACAATGACAATAAAGATGAATCAAGTCGAAACAGCATGTAGAAACAGAACGCAGGTGGATGCTTCACACATCAGAATCAGGATGAGGGTTTGTGCGCTGTTGTAAATCCCTCGTCACTCACGTGCATTAACAGCAGCTGCATCTCGTTCTCTGCGATTCTCCGGCCGACACACTGCCTGGACCCGAAGCCGAACGCCAGCGAGCGAAAGCCTCCTCCTGAAGCCGCGTCCAGACTCCAGCGGCTCGGCTCGAAGCGCTCCGGACGCTCGAACACTTCAGGACTGCGACCCAGAGGATACAGACACACCTGCACCAGCGTCTGAAACCAGCAGCAGACCACACCCAGTCATTTCAGACCCGCTCCCGACGAATGTTCCACCAATTCAACATTTCAACTTCGATGTTATAACTTTAAAACATAACATGACTGAAGTAACATTCTCTTTATGATCCAAAGTGCAGCACACATGAAGTTCAACATGGTGCAAACGCAAAACAAATTCACTTGTTAAATATCTTTGCAGAACAGATGCATGAAATATGAAGTACAAACATATCCTACATGTTCAGGAACAATTGTAAATAAGAAAAATGCTAAATATTTCTGAGCCAAAACATTGAGTTTTGGAGGCCGACTCAAAAAGTCCAAATGATTCATCCCTCGTCTCACCCCTGCCGGCACGTGGTAGTTCTGCAGGACGATGTCTCGGACCGGATAGCGCTGGACGGTGATTCCTACGGGATACAGCCTAAACACACACACACACACACACACACGCACGTATTGCTAAGAATCTTAGTGCAAATAGCCGCTGCCTAAAAAGTAATGGGTTACTTTACAAGTTACTTGGAAAAAGTAATCTGATTAAACTAATTGCATTACTTGTAATGCATTACACCCCCCCCACACACACACACTCACACACAAACAAACAAACACTCACACTCACACACACACACACATTCACACACAAACAAACAAACACTCACACACACTCACACACGCACACACACACACATCAGCTCAAACACACACACACTCACACACTCACACACAAACAAACAAACACAGGAGGAGATCTACTGAGGCGCTTCTGATGCTCTTTTGCCCTTTTTTTTTTACTTACTCAGGGTTATCATAGTTAAACTAAAACTAATACCATTAAAAAAAAATTTGTTAATTGAAATAAAATGAATGTTAACTAAAATAAATTATAAAAAAAAACTAAAACTAAAACTTTTTTCATTTCAGCTAGTTTCCAAGGCGAAATTTATCATTTTCATTTAGCTTAACTTGATGTATTAAACTAAAACTAAAAATGAAGCAAAAATTACTATTCTTTATACTTCACTATATATGTTCATTAAAAAAAAGAAAAAACAAAACAGTAACTGCGACTTTTTATCTCACAATTTGAATTTTTTTTCCACGTGATTGCAAGAAAAAAGCCTGAATTATGAGATACAAACTCATTTTCATCTTCATTTTAGTTGAAAATAAAGCAACTAAATAATAATACTAAATAACACACACACACTCACACACTCACACACAAACAAACAAACACAGGAGGAGATCTACTGAGGCGCTTCTGATGCTCTTTTGCCCTTTTTTTTTTACTTACTCAGGGTTATCATAGTTAAACTAAAACTAATACCATTAAAAAAAAATTTGTTAATTGAAATAAAATGAATGTTAACTAAAATAAATTATAAAAAAAAACTAAAACTAAAACTTTTTTCATTTCAGCTAGTTTCCAAGGCGAAATTTATCATTTTCATTTAGCTTAACTTGATGTATTAAACTAAAACTAAAAATGAAACAAAAATTACTATTCTTTATACTTCACTATATATGTTCATTCAAAAAAAGAAAAAACAAAACAGTAACTGCGACTTTTTATCTCACAATTTGAACTTTTTTTCCACGTGATTGCAAGAAAAAAGCCTGAATTATGAGATACAAACTCATTTTCATCTTCATTTTAGTTGAAAATAAAGCAACTAAATAATAATACTAAATAATACTTATCTATTAATTAATTTAGAAAGTATAATTCATTAAAACACACAACAAACAAACCTTCAAATATTATTATGCATTTTAACTTTTGTTACAATTATTAAAGATATAATGCATCACAACGTACATTATGCATACCTTTATAATGCATTATACATAACGGCTTTAAGTGTTACCAATGTAAAAATACAATCTAATTCAAAATATTTCCAAAAACTATAATAGCATTTTCACTGCTTTTCCTAAAACAATTTATTTCTTGATTTTTACTGCATTTATTACAAAACTGATCAATTTTCCTGTTTATCACTTTAAGCTGCTTTGAATCAATCTCTATTGCATAAAGCACTATAGAAATAAATTGACTTGACTAGAAGCGCAGGAGATTAAGGAGGAAACTTTATATCGGCGACTCTATGTTACGTGTCTGACTCTTTACTGATGCGTTTATGATGCTCTCTCTCTCAGCTCTCACCTCAGCGTCTCCTTGATGGTCCCCTTCAGCAGCGGCGCCCCCTGCAGGGCCTTCTGGGGGCTTCCTGATGCCTGTTGCCATGACGACAGCACCTGCGCTCGCACCCGCTCCTGCACCCCAGGGTTACGCGCCATCTCGAAGAGAGCGAACTGCAGCGGCACGGCGGTCTGACGGACACACGGAGTCATCGGTTCAGTTCACACAGTCTGATGTGACGCTACGCTGGACTTCATATTCATACAGACCTCGTTCATTAGTTTAAATGAAACACATCAGAACACAGACAAACATTTATTTCCTAATGTCACCGATGAATCACTTACAATATGAAAACAACAATTAATGAAATAGATCTAGTTTTAATGTTGACTTTAACGATTTCTTTTTACAAAAGAGTAATGCAGTTGTACACATCATTCCTTGCACAATCTGCAAAATGTTAATGATTTTAAAAAAAATTAAGAGGGATCATAAAAATAACAACTATTTGTTTTATAGTTTTATTCGTTTTTTTAATATATCGATACATACAATTCAGCCTTTTTTTATATGCATTTATATTTCGCAATTCTGACTTTTCACAATTGCAAGAAAAAAGTATGAATTGTAAGGGAAAAAAATCAAAATTGTGAGATAAAAAGTCACAATTAAATTTTTTAATCTGCATATACTTTTTAATATTTTTAATCAGTTTTTATTTTTTATATTTTCCGTTTTCATTTTCAAATTCTAGTAATTTTGTTGTTTTTTTTGTCAATTTTAGTATGACAAAAATAAATGTCTATATAGTTTATATTAATTTTTATTTTTTAGTTCTATTAGTACATCAAGTTCACCTAAGTAACCTAAATGAAAACGAACATTGCCTTGGCAATATATATTATATATATAATTTTATTTCAGTTTATTTTAGTTAGTGTAGTTGTAGTAAGTGTGATGGTTTATTGTGTGAATTTATACCGTATCGACTCCGCCGGCCATCAGTTCAGTGATGTTGGCTTTGATCAGCTCTGATGATAACTGTCCCGCCTCCATCAGCTGACCCAGCACACCCAGGAACCGCCCATCAGAGGCTCCGCCCACCACAGTCTGCAGACGCTGGTACCCGCGCTGGATACGCGCCTCCGCTGCAAACACACACACACACACACTCACAGAACAGAACTCGTGCTGCAGGAGAGCGTGTGTGTGTGTGTGTGTGTGAGACGCACCGTGGCTGAAGATGTGGTCCCATGCAGTGGCGTGCTGTGTCCAGAGGGGGGCGCGCAGGGCCAGCAGAAGCCGCGGCGGCAGGTACAGCAGCGGCGGCGTCGTGGCTAACATGCGCTCAACGGCCCAGATGAAGCGCTCCGCCTCTTCAGACGGAGACGACGAGAACAGGCCAATCCGCTCGCCGTACAGAACATGACAGCTCGCTGGAGACACATTATTGATCTGATTGTGAACCATTCAGACATTGCTAATAATTTTTGGACCTAGTAATGTCATAACTGGATCTTCTTTCTGGTGATTTATGCAGGATTTCTCCAATCACAATCATTTAGTGCTCTGAAACCCGGCCCTCAAGGTCACGCTTAGATCCGCCTCCATTTTTGAATGCCACGCCCACATCTCAGCATCCAATCAGCAGCCAATGCACAGAACCAAGACCCGCCTACATTTTGTCTTTTACAATAATCCGTTTCATTTGGCTGTGCATTACAATAAGGAAGAAAATATCTTTACTTCTTTACTTCTGTTTCATTATGACTACAGCAGAAATGATAAATACTCATCTTTCAGATTCTTAGTTGTACTCGTCCAATGAATGTTATTAATCTCATAAATATGCACAGAACTAGAGAAAGGGTGGGGTTTTGGAGAGAGGGCGGGATTTGGGAGAAGGCGGGGTTTTGGAGACAGGATGGGGTTTGGAGAGAGGGTGGAGTTTAGGGAGAGGGCAGGGTTTGGACAGGGTTTGGGAAAGAGGGTGGGGTTTTGGGAGGGGGGTGGGGTTTGGAGAAAGGGTGGGGTTTTGGAGGGAGGACGGGGTTTATGGGAGAGGGTGGGGTTTTGATGAGAGGACGGGGTTTGGGAAAGAGGGTGGGGTTTTGGAGAGAGGGCGTGGTTTTGGGAAGAGGGTGGGGTTTGGAGATAAGGTGGAGTTTTGGAGAGAGGGCATGTGATTGCATCATTAACCAGAGCATGATAACAGAATGTACAAAATTATTCTCAACTCAACAACACAACACTGACCTTCCAGGGCAAAGCGGAAGAGGTCAGGACTGGGGTCAAGGGTCATACTACGCTGACCCGTCTCCCCCACACCCTCCGTCTCCACCCGGTGTCGCAGCGACCGGCAGAAATCCTGCGCGACGTCGTCCAGCAGCGGAAGGAAGCGCCGTACGGCTGAAGTGACCATCACCTCCCTGTTCAACAGCAGCCTGTCGGCGCGCCACTCCGTCCCGTTCCTGCAGCAACGTTATTACAGTACAGAGAGATGCACAAACTCTCTTTACAGCAAAACATCTGACTGAAGTTTGCTGAACAGATTGAGACTGCAGAAATAATGAAGAAAAGTGATGACAGAGATCCTGCAGCATTTGAGATCTGATGAAGTGGTGTTTTTGGGTTCACTGCATCACAGTAACACACGTTTCTCACACACACACACACACACACACACACACACACTGACTTTAGGAAGACGCCCTTGCTGTGTCTGCGCGTCTCTCACACTCACACACACACACACTCACTCACACTCTCACACACACACACACACACACACACGATCCAGTACATTAACTCTGTGTGTGTTTATTCCTAAAGTACAGCTATGCAAACTCCATAAGAGAGTTCAAATCAATCAAAATGAGATGCCTTCAAAGGTAAAACTGGTTGATAAATGAAATGTTTTGTCAAGTTTTCTTGTAGTTAGTCTGCTGTCATTATAATTAGCTTCATATAAAACTATCCAAGCCTATATGATCTCATTCAGAGAACTACATAAACAAGTGACACTTTTACAACAATTATAAACCCATAAATATAAAATAAAAAGTGTAAGAGAATATGAGAGTTTCCTGATGTTTGTGTGAAGCATATGAGGTAATAAACACAAAACTATGTCAAAGCTCCCACTGCGGTGTTATTGTGCGACTGAGACACGCTTGTGCATTCATAAAACAACACAAAGCATCAGTGATGAGTGACACACTGCGTGTGAAAGCGTCCGTCGGCGGTGTGTTTGAGCGTCACATGACCCTGCAGGGCTCCGTGTCGGTGCGTGGCGCGGGCGTTCGGCTCTGTTTCCCCGTGAAGATCCTGGCGCTGAGGCTGAGGCTCTGGAAGGCGCTGAGAAGTCCGAAGCTGTCGTGTTTAGCAGGGGCTTCGGGACCAACCATCTTCACCAGATCTCGCGGGAGACACACTCTCCCCCCCCACGGCACGCAGCTGCTCCGCGTCCTTGGCATTCTGGGACGGATTAAAGAGAGCAGACTAATGAGCCGGAGGACAAATCACAATCACATCTCATTACAATGATTTTAAACAACATACAGGGATTTATTCTCTGTGCAAAACTTTTATGCATTTGGCTGAGGCTTTAATTCAAAGTGTCTTGCATTGCATATAAGCTACACGTGAAGGCTGTTTAATTGTTTAATTGAATAGATCAAATTTATTCACATGCAAACATGATTTATGAATGTTTTTAGGTGATTAGACAGTTTTCTGCAAGATTCCCTCAAACACAACACTCATGCAAGAAAGCCTCGGTTTATAATTAACGCACGGTGTAATTCCCCTTACAGAAAAACACATGTGCAATTAAAACGTGGATTTGATATTCATGGTGTAAAAAACCAATGTGGAAAACACACGTTTACACCATCAAAATGTTCCAAAACCACATTTCACATGCATGTGATTTTAACATGTGATTCTTCTGGAAGAGTAACAATGATGCTTTGATCTCTCTGACATCATATCTGTGTGTTAATATGCTACACAAGTGTATCAGTTCTTGTGATGTCATCACTTAAGGTCCGTTCACACCAATAACGATAATAACCATAATGATCTACAATCCCACGGACTCTAAGAGAACAGAGAGTTCACGCTACACAGAGGACCTTGGCCAGCTGGTATTTCCTCCTGAAATGCGCTCTGATCGCAGCTCTCTCGGCGTTCTTCTGAGCGTTCATCGGAGTGAGAGAGAGCGTTACTGTCCACAGTGAATCGTTCTGATTGTAACCTGAGCCTCTTTCTTCACATCACATGATGTTCTGAGGTCCTATCAGGTGACCCGTCTCACCTCTCTCGCTCCAGGTCGGCCTGATAGGATCGCAGCAGACGCGGGTCCGGCGCGCCGGTCCTGCCCTTTGACCCGGGCCATTTGGACCCTCTCTTGGACCGCTGCTTCTCTCCGCTCACGCAGAACTTGAGCGTCTTTACGGGGCCCAGCAGAGACGTCTTCAGCACGGACTCCATGACGCTTACGATCAGATCTATAGCAGCACTATCTGTGTGTGCGGCTGGATCATCATCAGACGGTGCTGTAATCACACACACGGGGACAGATGGAGAGACTCAAATCTGCAAGGACAAGGACACAAACATCAATTATATTCACACACATCACATGTGCTTCCAGTGTCCCAAAAACCAGCCAACATGGTCAGAAAAATCAGCTTCGTTCAAAGGGAAAAACAAGACCCAATTGGGAGACATTTGTTCTCGTTTTAACCATAAACTCACTTCATTTGAATACATTTCTCATTAAACAAGACTTCGTATCATTTTGCATCTCCAGTAGATGTGTCTTGATTTAAGGATGTTTAGATATTTGTACTGGAAAACAAGACAAAAATCACTTTTTGCAACTAACTTGAAACATCAGTCAATTCCACAGTTTAGAGTCATTAGATATTAATATATGAGCACAGAATGACCGATCGCAATCTAGTAATGCACAGAGATGCATGATGAATTCAGATAAAGCGTTTACATACAGACTGTGTTGTTCAGTGACCCTCGTCTCTATCCAGTAACAGCCATCTGTGTCGCTCCAGTCACTCAGGGCCGATGAAACTCCACTAACAGCGGCACACTCACAATATTCCTGTTCTTCTGGATCTGCTGTCGCTCTGCAAAAGATCTCGGGTCGTGTGTGTGCAGGTCCAGATTACTACACTAAAGACTTTAACGAGGGGAATCTCATTAGACGCCACAGGAGCAGAAGCACGTGCAGCTCACACACACTCACTCACACACACACACACTCACTCACTCACTCACTCACACACACAAAAAACCCTTTCAATGTCATCAATACAGATCAAACTACAGCCAGTGTTTGTTCTACCTGTAAATAAAATTATAATATAAACTGATAATCATAATAATAGTGTTTTTGTTCTACCCAAATAATAAAATAATTTAAAATAATTATAGTGTTTTTCTATATTATATTGTAAATATAATAGTTTAAATAATAATACTGTTTTTTTCTACTTGTAAATATAATAGTAATGATAAAATATTAAATAATAATAAGTGTTTGCTCTGTCTGTAAATTAATAATAAAAAAAAAAAATTATTAGCCAATGGTTAATGATACACATTAAGTTGTAGCATGAAAATTTTGTCGCATATGTGAGTGATTCACTCGCATTGTAGAGGGTTGACAGAGTCAAAAAATAAATGTCATAACCACAATTTATACATTTTTCAAATCATGATGACATTATAATTTAGCTCATGAATAATCAAAAATGCCATTACCATAACATACTGTATAACATAACATACTGTATAACATAACATAACATCACATATAACATAACATAACATAACATCACATAACATAACATCACATAACATAACATCACATAACCATTAATGGAACACTTCTGGCTGTGGTGATTCTAACAACAAATGAACAATTTCATGAATAATGTAAAGCAACAGACGACATGAAACTGTCTCACTCTCAATGAAGACAGACGGAGAGACTCATCTGTGTCTTCAGATGACGAATCAGAGTTTGACAGCAGGAGGAGAGAAAAACTCAACCATGATCAATCACACAGAGAAAACATTTAATGAAGAATAAAATGACAGGAGGAGAGGAAGGTCACTGATGAAGAAAAACAGCCCATCTGCAGTTTTATCAGTGACCCTGACGAGGCCTTGATGAACTGACAGGTGAGGACACAATTCATTAAAGACAACAGAGAGAGTGTGTGTGTGTGTGAAAGAGAGAGAGAGAGAGATTGTGTGTGTGTGTGTCTGTGTGTGTGTGTGTGTGTGTGTGTGAAAGAGAGAGAGAGAGAGTGTTTGTGTGAGCATCTGAGCATCTTAAAAGATTGAGAGGAGATCAGTGTCGACACGTGAAGCAGACAGACAGATGAACAGAGACACAGACAGACAGAGGTGTTGAATAATAGAGAACGGTCGGGTTGAGGTCATTACTAATCACAAACTCCTCACATAAACCAGAACACACACACACAGACACAGACACACAGACACACACACAGACAGACACACACACACACACACACACACACACAGTGTGTTACTGTATACGCCACAGTGCTCATGCAAACATGAATTAATTTACCTGCAGACAAACACTGATCCACTGATCACAGCTCTACTCAGTTTATTTGCTGCATGGATAGAAACCTTAAAAGATTCCTTGTAAACACACACACTGTCACTCGCACAATGATACAAAGCATATTTTATTACAGAGAACGCATACTGTAGAAACAAGGCTATTCATCTCATACAAAACAACTCAAGTCATAAAATAAATCCTGAAAAAGTGTTCATCTGCTGAGAACCCCGACATGTGCGATATTTGAAATTCTAGGCTACTGCTATGATCCCAAAACAACCTTAAGACATCCCGCCTCCTGAAGCTGTCCGTCAAGTGAAAGCTGACCAATCGGGGAGCTTGTGAAGGTGTCAGTCTAATTCTACTGGCTGTCAGGTCTCTCTGTGCTCAGCTCCAGCATTGTCTCTTCTAATCACGAGCTTCCATTACACTTCTGCCTTCAGTTCTGTTTACAACAAACCCAGAGAAACGTTTCTACACTCGAAACATGAAGCTAATAAACGCATGATTACTAAAGTATATGGTTTGCAAGTGATTTTCATGAGTTTGGGGGTATTTTCATAACAATAAAGAATGTTTACGTGAGAAATGCTAAGCTGGTGTAGCGATTAGCTTAGTATAAAAGGCTACAAATAACTTATTTCGACAACATTATCCACCTTATTTTTCCTGTTAAGAGCGAATCGTACTGTTGTTTAACAACATGCTGATTGTTCAGCTGCTGAAACGTCTTTGCAAATAAACTTTTAGTAGACAGAAACTCCAAAAACCTGTAGAATGTTGTGAGTGATCTAGGACTAGGACTTTATACAGCGTGTACCATTGTAAAGACTAACTTTCACAGCCTCGTTTTCATCGTTTTTTAAATTTTTATATTTCATTAAGGCAAAAACAAAGCATTAAGCTCGTGCAGGAGCTCCGGTGACGTTCTCACAATGGCTTTCTATATTTCTGAATGTGGCGACTGGGCACTGCATATGTGCTGAAATATTGTTTGCATAGATGTGATGCAAAGTTTAGGGTCCATATAACCCGTACTTTCAGAATATGAAGTAGAATCAGACTCGTTCAAATGGATAAAATCAGTGCATGTAAACACATCCAGCAATGAAACCATCTCACCTTCTCTGGGTTATACCTGACAGAATAACCAGAGTTCACAAGCAGGATGTTCTCAGGCTTGAGGTCTGTGTGTGTCAGCTTGTTGCCATGGAGAACTGTCAGAGAAACAGACCATAATCACAAATGACCCAGTGAGCAGGAGAGGAAGATAGACTGTTCATCAGTGCATGCAGCGCCCCCGTCTGCTCACAGTCAGACACGTCATGAGACTGTGATTCACATACAGAAAGATGAGTGTGTGTGTGTGTGTGTGTGTGTGTGAGAGAGAGTGTGAGTGTGTGTGAGTGAGTGTGTGTGTGTGTGAGTTATGTTAATGCTTTGGCAACATTGTGTTACACAGTCATGCTAATAAAGCTTAATTGAATTGAATTGAATTGAGTGAGTGTGTGTGAGAGAGAGTGAGTGTGTGTGAGTGAGTGAGTGTGTCTGTGAGTGAGTGTGTGTGTGTGTGAGAGAGAGAGAGAGAGA